GCCAAGAGCAGCACCAGGAGCCGTTTGGCCAAGCTGGGTTCGTCCGTGGGGAGGGGGCGACGAACCTGGAGGGGGAAAAAGAAACGAAAAATGTGAAATTCTGGGAAAATTCCCCAAAAAATTCCCGAAAATTTGGGAAAAAATTCCGTCCGGGAAAAGTTGTCTGAGGCGGGATTAGAGGAGGGGATGAGGAACCCATCCAAGGGGTGACCCTGAGGGACCCTGCTTAGCTTTGCTGAGATTTTGGGGTTTTTAACCACATTTGGGGCACAGAATTCCCTTTTTGGGGCAAAATTCTCTCTTTTTAGGTAAATAAATCCCAATCAGGAAAAAACGGAAAAAAAACCCTCACGATTTTTTGGGAAAAAAGTTCATTTCTGGGGTAAAAATTCCCTCCATCAGTTTCGGGAACCCATCCAAGGGGTGACCCTGAGCGACCCTGCTTAGCTTCGCGAAGATATTGGGGTTTTTAACCTTCTCTGGGGCAAAAAATTCCAATTTTTAGGGCGAAAAATCCCTATTTTCGGGCAAAAAATCCTTCTTTTTGAACAATAAATCCTAATCATTAAAAAAAAATCCCGGTTTTGGGGCGAAAAAGTAATTTTTGGGGGTAAAAACTCCCTCTATCATTTCCAGGAACCCATCCAAGGGGTGATCCTGAGGGATCCTGCTTAGCTTCGTGAAGATATCGGGGTTTTTAGCTCCCCCTGGGGCAAAAAATTCCCATTTTTGGGGCGAAAAGTCCCCATTTTGGGGCAAAATTCTTTCTTTTTGGGCAAATAAATCCTAATCATTAAAAAAATCCCGGTTTTGGGGCAAAAAAGTAATTTTTGCGGGTAAAAACTCCCTCGATCATTTTCGGGAACCCATCCAAGGGATGACCCTGATGGACCCTGCTTAGCTTCACTGAGATATCGGGGGTTTTAACCCACCCTGGAGCAAAAAATTCCCATTTTTGGGATAAAATTCCCATTTTTTTGGCAAACAAATCCCAGCCTGGAGCAAATAACTGAGCAGGGAGGGCCCCAAGGAAAGGCTGAGTCAGACGCCAGGGTGGAAATGATTCACCTCCCG